GTGATGAACAACGAGAACACATGGACAAACGGAAGGGAGCACTACACACTGGGGTCTATTGGGGGGAATTGGGGAGGAACAGCGGGGTGGGGAATAGCATGGGGAGGAATGCCAAATGTGGGTGAAGGAGAGGAAGGCAGCAAAACACACTGCCACGTGTGTACCTATGCAACTATCTTGCATGTTCTGCACATGTACCCCAAAACCTAAAATGCAATTTAAAAAACTTAAAAAAACAAATAAAAATAAAATAATCAGAATTAAAGGGTGTCCAGAAAACTCTTAGCTTTCTTTCTGCCACGTGAGGATACAACAAGCCAGCAGTCTACAACACAGAAGCAGGCCCTAACCAGAACCCAGTCATGCTGACACCCTGATCTCCAACTTCCAGCCTCCAGACCTGTGAGAAATAAATGTTTGTTATTTAAGCCACCCAATCTGTGGTAATTTGTTAGAATAGCCCCAACTGTGTAAATCATTAAATGATATATCAACTTCACTTCTGAGTACAGTCATCCCTTAGTACCCTTGGGTTACTGGTTTCAGGACCTCCCTCAGATACCAAGTCTCTGATATAGCCTAGTATTTACATATAGCCAATGCACATCCTCCATATACTTTAAATAATCTCTAGATTACTTATAATACCTAATACAATGTAAATGTTATACAAATAGCTATTATATTGTTTTGGGAATAATGATGAGAAAAAATGTACATGTTCAGTACAAACGTAAATGTTGGTTGAATCCATGGATGCATAACACCCTCTGGATAAGGAAGGGCTAACTATATACCCAAAAGAACTAAGAGCAGAGACTCAAGCAGATATTTTTTTTTTTCTTGAGACAGAGTCTCACCTCATCACGTAGCCTGGAGTGCAGTGGCACAATCTTGGCTCACTACAACCTCCACTTCCCAGGCTCAAGCAATTCTCCAGCCTTGGGCTCTGGAGGAGCTAGAATTACAGGGGTGTGCCACTATCCCGGCTAGCTTTTATATTTTTAATATAGACAGGGTTTTGCCATGTTGGACAGGCTGGTCTCAAACTCCTGACCTCAGGTGATCTGTCCACCTTGGCCTACCAAAGTGCTGGGATTACAGGCATTAGCCCCCACACCCAATCCTCAAACAGATATTTCTACACCTATGTTCATAGCAGCATTATTCACAATAGCCAAAAGGTGAAATCAACCCAACTGCTCATCAATAGATGAATGGATAAACAAAATGTAGTATATACACAAACAATGAAATATTATTCAACCACAAAAAGGAATAATATTCTGACACATACTACAACATGGATGAACCTTAATGACATTATGCTAAGCCAGTCACAAAATGACAATATTGAATGATTCCGTAAATGTGAGGTCCCTTGGACAGTGAGATTCATAATAAACATAAAGTGGAATGGTGGCCGCAAGGGACGAGGGAGTGAAAGATGAAAAATTATGGTCTAATGGGTACAGAGTTTCAGTTTGGGAAGATGAAAAAGTTCTCACATATGGCAGTGATGATTGCACAAAAATCTGAACATACCTGAACTGATCACTTAAAAATGATTAAAAATGGTAAGCTTATGGAACATATGTATCACCACAATTAAAAGACAATTGACTATTTAGACAAAAGTAATGAAAATAAAGCATGGAGTGTCAATATATGGCACAAAGGTCCAGAGAGTATATGTGGAGTATGACATTCACATGCTATAAAGTAGTATACCACTTGAAGGTAGACTGAGGTAAATTAAAGATGAATACTATAAACCCTAAAGCAAAAAATAAACTAACAAAACAAATTATAGCTAGAAATCCAACAAAGGGGATAAACGGAATCATTAAAATATCCATTAATCTCAAAAGAGTCAGAGAAAGGAAAAAATGACAAAAGAGCAAATGAGAAAACTATTAAGCAATGAGCAATATGAAAGATTTAAACTTAACCACATTCTATAATTTTGTGAAATGTAAATAAATATCTCAATTAAAAAGCTGAGGTTATCACACTGGATTAAAAAAAAAGCAAAACACATATCAAAATCTAACTATATGCTTCCTACTAGAAATATATTTCAAATAGGTTAAATAAAGATCCAAATAGGTAGACAGTAAAAGATACACTACATTAACACTAATCAAAAGAAAGGTGAAATGTCTATATCAAACAATTTCAGATCAAAGAATTATTACAAGGAATAAAGAAGATCATCTTATTACAATAAAGTAGTCAATGTAATCATTTCAATACACGCAGAAAAGGTGTTTGACTAAATCCAATAACCACTCCTGATTAAAAAAAAAGTCTCAACAAATAGGAATAGCAGGGAACTTCTTCAAACTAATAATGAGTGTCTGTAACAAATGTACAGCTATTATCATCTTTGATGGTGAAAGAATGAACACTTTACCCCTAAGATCAGGACAAGACAGGAATGCCCACTTTCACCACTTCTATTAACATTTTATTAAATGTTCTAGTCAGATCAGTAAGGCAAGAAATAAAGGGCCATCAGGATTTAAACAAGTTGTGCCATAGTAACTGGATATCCACATACAAAAAATATTTTTTCAAACTGAGCATGACCCATATCTTGCACCATATATATAAAAAATTCAAAATGGATCACAGACATAAATGTGACATTTAAAATTATAAAACCTCCAGAAGAAAACAAGAGAATATGTGATATTGGGTTAGGAAGAGATTTCTTAATTATCACATCAAAGTATAATTTATGACAGAAATGTTTATAAATTAAACTATCAAAATTAAAAACTCCAGTCTTCAAAAGAGTGTTAAGAAGATAAAAAGATAAGCCCATGTACTGGGAGAAAATATCTGCAAATGATACATTTTACAAACAACTGGTATCCAGAACATATAAAGAACTCATAAAATTCATTAATGAAATAAATCACCCAGTAAAAACTAAGCAACACATGAATAAATATATCCCTAATATATATATATATATATATATATATGAATGGCAAATAAGCACATAAAAAAATGTTGACCATCATTAGTCATCCAGAAAATGCAAATTAAAACCACAACCAGATACTATTCCCCATTAGAAAATGGCTAAATTTTAAAACTTAACCATATCAAGTGCTGGCAAGGATGTGAAAGAATGAGAACTCTCACACACTACTGGTGGGAATATAAACAATACAACCAATCTGAAAAACTATTTGGCAGTTTTTGAAGAAGTTAAACATACACCTACCATATGGTCCAGTAGCTTAAACTCCAGTCTACTCCTAGTGTTTAAGCAAGAGAAATAAAAACACCTGTCTATATAATGTCATATACATAATGTTTATAGCAGTTTTTTTTTAACAGCCAAAAACCAAAACACACCAAATTATCCATGAACAGATTAATGGATAAACAAAGTGTTCTATCCATCCAATGAAATACTACTCAGCAACAAAAATGAACTATTAATACACACTCTGAAGAACCTAAAAACAATTATAGTAGTGAAAGCCAGACAAAAAGAAGAGTACGTATTATATGATCTCATTTATTAACATGCTAGAAAATGCAAACGAATGTATAGTGACAGCAGATCAGTGGTAGTATGGGGGTGGGGAGAGAAGTGTAAGTAAAGGGACTACACCAGGGGGCATATGTAAATTCTGAGAGTGATGGATGTTCACCATCTTGATTGTAGTGATGGTTTCCTAAATACAGTCAAAACTTAATAAATTATATATTTTAAATATGTATAGTTTACTGTTTGTCAATATATCTCATTAAAGCTATTAAAAACAAACCAAAGGCCCATAAATACTCCTATACTGAAATTCTCAAAATTAAAAAAATATTATAAAGTTACCTAATGCCTTTTTTAGTACTTCCTCTTGTGATCATTCTCATATACAGTAATTACAAAATAAAATGCTTTTCCAAGTCTAAAAGAGTAGAAAAAAGGCTTATAGAGTACATAATATGATTACAGCAGCTCCGCAAATACAGGTTATCACTGCCAAAAATAAGTATTCATTCAGAAAGGTCCAGTTGAAAACATTTTGAGAAGTTTTTCCTTCCAAAAAAAAAATTCTCCTAACCTTACCTACAATATAACTGTGTTATAGCACCTGTGGATGCATGCTCACGCATATGTGTACACACACGCATGTACACAGTTTCCAAACTTCATTTCTCATAATTTATAGCTCTAAATACAGTTCCAAGGATTATTTGAGAGAAATTCTGGGCAAAAAGAACAAATCTACCTTAGGGATGCTTCATCAAGGCTCTACAACTCACCACAATGCTATGTGCTTGAAGACCTTCATCTTTTAGGTTAAATTACTTATTGAGTGATTGATGGTTTTACAAAATGTTTTTAGATATTTTCACCATTTTTTATTAATTCTTGTAACAATGAAGTAGTAAGAGAGTATAATCATACTTTTCAAAGGCATACAGATAGAAAAATAAATGTATATAAATAATTTGTGCAAGCTACAGATCAAGACATACATTGAGAACCAGAACCCGTATCTCCTGACCCACAGTCTAATCCCCTTCCTGCTACATACATCATCTCAATTACTGTAAATGTACGTTTATACACTTTGAAAAATATACTACTTGCTGTTAAAAGTCATGTGCACTGGCAGCCACAGGACCATCACCACAAACTAAGAACAATCATTTCTGCACTGGATAATTCCTCTAAGTTCAATATACAAAGACAGCAATGCCTATCAACAACGTGAATGACACTCTACCAAACTAAAATATTGATTAGGTACAGAGATACTTTGGAATTGGAAAGACTAAGTCTGAGGTTTAATCCTATCTTAAAAAATTAAACCTTAGACCCATTTTCCCTTGTGAATGGTACTAATCATACCACGTGGTACTGGTTAATGCAAAGATTAAATGAGATGGCCACTCATGCCACCACACCTGTAATCCCAGCACTTTGGGAGGCTGAGGCAGGCAGTTCACAAAGTCAAGAGTTCGAGACCAACCTGATCAACATGGTGAAACCCTGTCTCTACTAAAAATACAAAAATTAGCCAGGCATGGTGGCACGCGTCTGTAATCCCAGCTACTCAGGAGGCTGAGGCAGGAGAATTGCTTCAACCCAGGAGGCAGAGGTTGCAGTGCTGAGGTCATGCACGCCACTGCATTCCAACCTGGGAAACAGAGTGAGACTCCATGTCAGAAAAAAAAAACAGATTAAAAAAGATAACATATGTAAGGCATTTAGTATAGTGTCTGGCACATAGCTGCTACTACCACTACTCTTAACAATAAACTTCTTTTAGCTGCTACTACCACTACTCTTAACAATAAACTTCTTTTAGCTGCTACTACCACTACTTTTAACAATAAACTTCTTTTAATGTTTAGATTACTGATATCAAAAAAAGGCAATTCATATTTCAACATAATATATATGATTTAGAAACAAATACTAAATTTAGGTATAAAATTTAACACTGTTTTCCCCCTTTAGTTTCACTCGCAAACATGCCTTTTAGGTACTCAGATTTTAAAAAAAAAAAAAAGCAAACTACATTTCTCTCTTGCTCATACAGATGTAGAGCATTTCTGAAACTGATTCTTAATCAGTATACTTCTAAAAATCTTGGTTAATAGATTTTTTTTTGGTGTTTTTATTTTTGTTTTTGTTTTGAGACAGAGTCTCGCTCTGTCACCCAGGCTGGAGTGCAATGGCGTGATCTTGATCACTGCAACCTCCACCTCCTGGGTTCAAGTGATTCTCCTGCCTCAACCTCCCGAGTAGCTGGGACTATAGGCACATGCCACCACACCCAGCTAATTTTTGTATTTTTAGTAGAGATGGGGTTTCACTGTTTTGGCCAGGCTGGTCTCGAACTCCTGACCTTGTGATCCACCTGCCTCAGCCTCCCAAAGTGCTGGGATTACAGGCGTGAGCCACCATGTCCAGCCATTTAATGGTTTTTAAAAGATTAATTTTTTGTTAAATGACTTTGAATAAGTTACTTCTAAAGAAAACCATTCATACAAAAGTGTAAATTCTTGAAAAAAGGTCTTCCTTAATGTTTATGAAAAATGAAGTCACGGGAAACTTAAGATGAGCTTATTAATAGTTGCCAGTGTATTAAAAATATAAAAATAACAAATAGGCAGAGCATGGTGGCTCATGCCTGTAATCCCAGCACTTTGGAAGGCTGAGGCGGTGGATCGAGACCAGCCTGGCCAACATGGTGAAATGTCATCTCTACTAAAAACATAAAAATTAGCCGGGGGTGGTGGCACACGCCTGTAGTCCCAGCTAATCAGAGGGCTGAGGCAGAATCACTTGAATCTGGGAGGCTGAGGTTGCAGTGAATCAAGATCACGCCAAAGCATTCCAGTCTGGGCAACAGCGTGAGACTCCGTCTCAAAAATAAATAATAAATAAATAAATGACAAATAACTATGGTCAACAAATCAAGTTGCTAAGTTTACTTCTTCAATGTAATTCTAAGGTTTTTGTTTCAAATAAGTAACATCACTGAAAACACTAAAGTAAAAAATGATATCCAAACTCATAACATGCTTCCATAATCCATACAGTTTTAGGACGTATAGCTGCTTATAAATAGTATCAGATTCTTCATTTCCCTGTTTTTGACCAATATGCCATAAAATATTCAAATACAAGCAGTGGTTTATTAAGATGGTGACTCTGCTTTCATTTAACTATCAGCTGTCAGGCAAGGCACCACAGTTTTGCCAGCTGATATGCAAAAGTTCTAAATTAGCGCATTAAAAGTATTTATAGATGGATATATATATTTAATTCAGGTAAGTTAAATGAATAAAAGGTAGGGACCATATTTAAAAACCTAAAACGGGCTAAGCAAAGCTGTTCTGATGGTTCTGCCACAATTCAGCATTAAACTTAGGTCTCTAGGCTTATAATGATCTCCTTATTAGTAAAACAAGTAATAGTAGGGCTTTCATTATCTACCATTCCTAATTTAAGCTCCTAATACCATTTAAGAAGGCCATTACAGATATTATTTCTAATAATAACATAACCCTGGCAAAGTGGATTCCTCTGTGCCTATATTATAAATGGGGAAGTTGAAGTTGAAAGTAGTTAATCGATGTCTAAAAGGTGACTAAGGAGTAAAAGCTAAATTCAAAGTCAAATCCTGTATTCTTTCTACCATATCAGTCTAACTACACTGATTAAACACAGTAATTCCACTTCTAGAAATTTATTCTCTGGGAATATGCATGTGAAATAACGTTTTCAAAAACATATCTCCTACAACGTGGTTTGTAAATCAAAAGATAACAACCTAAGTGTATATCAGCAGAGCACTAGTTAAGTAAATCACAGTTTATCTAAAAAATGGGAAAGCAAGCCAGCCTTTAAGAAAAAACAAGACAGTTTTATATCTATGGGTATGGGATTGGACAATCTCCAGGATCCAGTTTTACATACACTGCACTGTCCAATATAGTGGCCACTGGCCATATGCAGCTATGTAATTTATTTTAAATTAAATAGAATTTAAACATTTAGTTCTGCAGTCATACCAGCTACATTTCAAGGACTCTGTAGCACCATGTGGCTAACTGCTGCCATCTTGGGCAGCTAAGTACAATATATTTCCACCCCACAGAAAGTTCCACTGGACAATACTAACATAGAATTATCTTTGGAAGGACATAAAGAAACTGATAATAGAGGTTGTCTCTAGGAAAGGGAACAGAGACAACAGGGAAACTTAGTATTCAACATATGCCCATTTGTAACTTCTGAATTCTGAAGTAACATGTCATACACTGGTACCTGTTGAAAAATAACTATTTACCTATTTAAAAATACCTTGTTTGTTTCTCAAAAAACCTCCCTGAATTCTGTTAATTAGAAGCATAAAAGGCTCAGTTCTGAGGCATGGTAGAGGTTAAGGGTTAGATGTCATCTCTGAGACTTCCTAGAAATACTGCTGACCACTACCCTAATTTCATTAAGCATTCATTTTTCACATTGCTATTTAAGATAACACACGAAAGATGACATACTGCCTATTTCTGAGGAATTAAGGGAACAGAGATAGAAAAACACAGATCAGACGGCAGGAGTGGTAGCTCATGCCTGTATAATCCCAGCACTTTGGGAGGCTGAGGCAGGAGAATCACTTGAGCTCAGGAGTTCTAGACCAGCCTGGGCAACACAGTGCAACCCTGTCTCTATTTTCAAAATAAAGAAAACACATCAGAAAAAAAAATACTTTAAAAGTATGAAAAAGTGGTAGTGTTCAAGAAGGGAAAGTTCTATTCTTCCATCAACATGGTCATATCTGTTTTCATTTTCTTTTTCTTCTACTTCCCTTAATGCTCTACCGAGGAACACTTAAAAGCAATAGTCTTCCAGTTCTGCTCTGAAGGCACTTTTTAAAATGTCTTAATATACTGAAGAAGTTACTTAACTTGTATATGCCTCAATTTCCTCATCTGTAAGGGGAAACTATTGATTAATCAAGTTTATTAACTACGGGACATTTTTCCTTTGGAAAGAGAACACACGAACCTTTGAGAATAAAAAAGACACTGAGGCCAGGCAGTCCAAAAAAAAATTATATGATTTTTTTTTTAATTGAGACGGAGTTTTGCTCGTTGCCCGAGAAATGAGTGCAATGGCACAATCTCAGCTCACCACAACCTCCGACTGCCAGGTGTAAACAATTCTCCTGCCTCAGTCTCCTAAGTAGCTGGGATTACAGGCATATGCCACCACATTTTGTATTTTTGTATATTTAGTAGAGACGGGGTTTCTCCACGTTGATCAGGTCGGTCTTGAACTCCCAATGTCAGGTGATCTGCCCACCTCGGCATCCCAAAGTGCTGGGAATACAGGCGTGAGCACTGTGCCTGGACTTTTTTCTTTTTCTTTCTTTTTTTTTTTTTTGAAGGAGTCTCGCTCTATCCCAGGATGCAGTGCAGTGGCATGATCTCAGCTCACTGCTATCTCCACCTCCCGGGTACAAGTGATTCTCCTGCCTCAGCCTCCCCAGTAGCTGGGATTACAGGCGCGTCCCAGCACGCCTGGCTAATTTTTGTATCTTTAGTAGAGACAGGATTTCACCATGCTGGCCAGGCTGGTCTCGAACTCCTGACCCAGTGATCTGCCTGCCTCGGCCTCCCAAAGTGGTAGGATTACAGTGAGCCACTGTGCCAGGCAAAATTACATAATTTTTTTTTAATTGATACTTTTCTCTCATTGGGAGCTTATCCACTTGAGGAGATTGAAGGGTCTGGGAATTATGCTAAATTATGACCTGCTCTGGAAGAAGAATAGGAACGAGATCCCAAACTATCTATTTTCTTGCACATTTACACTGCACTCTCATTCTCTCTTCCTCTTCCATGGATCTCAGCCAGTGTCTAGATCTAGCCTAACTCCAGAGCCCTGGGTTTTTACCACTGTCCAACACACACTGCCTTTTATAGTGAGTTGGTGGGTCAAAGACCTGTGCAAGACAGGCAGAAGGCCATGCTGTTGTCCAAAAAGTGATATGGGCCATGAATTTGACCCCACACAGACTGGTAACCCAGAAGCCTGGCCAAATTTAAGGAATTTGGATTTACAGGAAAAGAAAAGCACAGTACAGTCCTACCAAGGAAAAATGTCACTTAGAGACTCTAACATCTAATCATATGCACAGGCATTTGAGGAAGTCAACTTACTAAAAAAATAAACTTCCTATAAAATATAAGGATGAACAATGAAGATATGGAACAGTGAGGAAAGACAACAATTATTTCCAGAAATTTATATTTCTATGCCATTATTAAGCACATTTTAAAATGTAATAATTACCAATAAGCAATTTAAATCTTTCAAAAATATGCAAGACAGATGCTAAAGTCATTTCGCACAAGGGGTACATGTAAAAATCTCAACACTTATGTGGCCTTAGGCTACTATACATTTAAGGGAGTGAGAGATTTGAAAATGAGTTTATATTAATCGGAAAGTGCAAAGAAATTTGCCAAAGTGTGCCAGCTCCATGGCCCACAAGCAATGAGCATCGCCTGCCTGTGCCAGTCAGATGCCCAACCAACAATACTGTGAAGGCTATGAAAGAAGCTGTTAGCACTCTGGTGTAATCCCAGCACAGGCCAGAGCAGCAGATTAGGCAGAATT